GGGGGGGGGGCTTCACCTCGTTAAAAATAACCCTACCCACCCTATGTCAGAGGTGTGGAGTGGATCTCGCTTCACGTGGAAAGTTGCAAACCCATGTGGAACAGTACAACGGTGGAAGTGGATGCTTTCTTGTACTGTTCCACATGGGTTTGCGACTTTCCACGTGAAGCGAGATCCGCACCACACCTCGGACATAGTGTGGGTAGGGTTATATTTTAATGAGCCGGAGCCCTCCCCCTGAAGGGGGGGCAGAACATACTGTCTCCATGCATGTACTTCCATGACGTACGACAGATGGAGATGGGAGGAGAGATATAAGATTTAGAGTCCATCATTTTTTTCGAAAACTATTACTCGCACAGTAAAAATGAATAGAACATAAAATGTTTATTTCAAAGAGATCTACAACTTTTGTTTGAAACATTTTTCTAAATTTTTAATATTTGTCTTTTCAAAGTCATTTGACATGAAAATTACATATAATTGGTCGACATTGTTTTTTTAATACAATAACTTTTTGACAAACAACGAGCGACGGCTAAAACCTTCTGAGGGTTACTCAGGAGGATAACCTTGACAACATATGTCAAGGTCAAGGTCATCGGAGCTGACTCCCCTATAGTGAATATTTACCGAAATTTTATATCGAGCTGCAATGTGTCAAATATACGTAATTTTAAAGAACAAAACAGGGTATTCTTTTTTAAAACACAGAACGAGGAAGATGAACATATTTAAATAAATCGTTAGCGGGGTTTTCAAGTTGAAACTTCAAGCTTTAATATGCTTTTTTAGTTTTAAGTCTACGATGATTTTTCGCCGAGTTTCAGTGGTTTGAAAATAGCCCAAGTTTTAGGGTATGAAAAGTGTTCCCTATTTTTTTTAGTAGTATATATATAAATCTACAATTTTTTAACTAATTAAATTTCTAATTCGCGAATGGTTGTAACTTTAAACATAATACTACAAGGTTTTATGGCACATGACAGGATTCTTGAACAGAATCCAGTTTCACTCGCTGCCGCAATGTGGTGACCTTCTTTGCAATTAAAATTTATTCTGAAATAATATAAGAGGCGAGCCGGCAAAAGATTCGAGTTGGCACTGAATCGCCACAGATTAACTCATTCACATTGACATCTGCTGGCAAGGTTGAGTTGAATGTCTCTATATGTACATATATTGTATAACTGTAATTATACATATATACAGCCATTTATATATAATTTATATTAAAAAATTAAAAAATTTTGTAACGGCATCTTTGTATTATAGTTTACTTAAATCGACATAGAAATGTATCAAGTATCAATGTTAATTGTAGTTTAACGAAGATAATTTATTGAGAAGTTCATACATAGATCAAGTCGTAAAAGCTATGATACTAAAAAATTTATAAAAGTGTTCCAATTCTAGCATTTTTATACAGATTCCTGTTACATTTCTTATATTCATGTAGAATTTCATAGATCCTGTAGTTCTATTTTGTAGTTTTTTTTTAGTATACTTTTACTTTCTGAAAAATTTTGTAGAATGTTTTCTCCCAGGGCATGCTAAACATTTTTGGTTAAAAACTTATTGTATAATAATGTTTCAAATTTGTGTTTATAATATTTGAGCCATACGAGTTTTATTAATTTGATAATAATATTTATTTCGCTACATTTTTATAAATTTCGATTGTTTTATAATTTGAATGAACTTATTGCGAAAATTGAGAATAAAAAAATGGAAACATAAAAATGCCTGAATGGAAGATTTCTATACGTTAACATATAAAGAAAATACATTTAACAAATGTACATTTGTCTTTATTTTTTAACAAAATTAAATGTTGAATGAATTACATGTACTTTCTTACAATTGTATAATCAACGTTCGTAAGAAAGCGTTCACTTCTTATATTTGTGTATAAGAATACCAGTGCTAATTACACGTGAGAATATTTCCAGGGTCAGGCTATGAATGATTCGAATGCGCCATGAAAGTCTTCGAAGAGGGGGGGGGGGGATGACCTCGATAGAATATAATGAACTCTAATTCATATTCCCACAAGTCCGATCCTCTCACCGGAATAAATTGGCTACGCACTTCCTTGTATAAGCAAGCATAAGAACATGTTTACTAATTTAACCATGATTTACCAAGAATTTTTGTGTGTGTGTCTGTGTATGCGGGATCCTAATTCTATATTTTCGCATCACGTGACAACGAAATAGAAAATAGAACACAGCTATAAATTATTACACAGAGAAAATTGTCCGATTAAATATAATCGGATAATCCAATTACATAATAACAAACGGATATATCCAATTAAATTGTATATCCAATGAAAAATTTGATCGGTGTTTCAATCGTCAGTAACTGCATTTCATCGAATAAATTTTATCACATGTACCCATAATTTAATCGGAAAACGTAATCGGAAAAATTAACCATCGGAAACACTATTTAATAAGTTTATCCGATAAAAATTTTTCTCAGTGTATAAAAACAAAGGCTGGTATTCAAAGTCAGATCTTACATTTAAGACTGCCTTAAGTTTATCTTAAGATGTTGTATGGAACATTTCATTGACTACAAAGTATCTAAAGATAATTTTAACGACCTTAACTATAAGATCTAACTATGAATATCATCCAAAGACTATCTTAATGATTTCAGGAATTTTCAACTTGTTGCAATTGGATCTCTCGGCTAATTTCTTCAAGGACTTTCCCACTGATGCATTAAGACACTTAACGGATTTAAAATTTTTGAATATTTCTAACAATCTTATTACCGTAAGTATCTCCATAGATGGCATCTCCTTTATCGTCAATGCATGCAAATATTCAATGTACATATATGTACCTGAAGTTAGATGGTTAATTATCGAGGTTTGCCCCTATATGTATACATATACTTTATATGTATATTGCAATAAAAAAGAGAAACATTGGATCGCATTATTTTCAATTTAAGAAGATTATGTTATAAATTATAAAGAAAATAAAAAGTATATAGGTTCTATGGTAAATATATCGATGAAGGGAGCCAGCCCCGATGACCTTGACCTTGACATATGTTGTCAAGGTCGCCCTCCTGAGTGACCTTGAAGAGGTTTTAGCCGTCGCTCGTAGTTCGTTAAAAAGATATTTAAAAAACAATGTCGACCAATTCTATGTAATTTTCAGACACAAATATTAAAAATTTTGAAAAATGTTTTAAACAAAAGTTGTTGATCACTTTAAAATATACATTTTATGT